TGCAGAGTTTCTGAAATTCTACACTAAACCTATATACAAGTAATATTTCAATCTGTTACAATTTTAGTTTGTTTTGAAAAAAACAGAAAAGGATGCAGGAAATCTGTTTATTTTTTTTCTCTCTGAGACCATTCCAGCCTTCAATACTTGACTGTTTATGAGTATTCATGGAAAGAAACTTTTTTTAAAACTAATGTTTTTTCATGAATAAGCAGAATATTTCCCTTCCTTTCATTTAATTCAGAAATGGGTGGGAAAAAATGAGCTTATTTGAGATGCATCCTCCTCACTTCTGTCTGCTGCAGGGGTAGTGAACCTGTGGCCTCAAGGCCACACATGGCCACATGTGGCAGGGCCACACTTGAGGACCTAGAGGGAACATGTGGCCTAGAGACCTCAGGTTCCCACCAGTTGAGGCCACAATGGGAATATTTCATACTTGGAAAACATTTTTTTTTTAAAGAAAGAGCCCACAATGGGTAAAAATACATGAGTTCAAGTTGGCTTCTGGAAGAAATGAGCCAAGCAATTTGAAGCTGCCTTTAGATTCAGGGCAACTGGAATGACTGTGAACATCTTTGCTCCCTCCAACTTTGACCTTTCTTTGACACTAAGAATCCTCCAATTTAGCCCTTTTTTTTTTTAGCCTATTGGGGTTAAGTGACTTGCCCAGGGTCACACAGTTAGTACGTGTCAAGTTCTGGTCTGAGGCGGGATTTGAACCCAGGTCCTCCTGACTTCAGGGCCAGTGATCTATCCACTGAGCCACCTAGCTGCCCCAAGTTACCCCATTTCTACCAAGTGCTTGGGAGGTATGGAAGGGGGTAGCGGCAATATAACCAGGAATCAGTGAAGTAAATACTAAGGTGTGCTGGAGAAATCATCCAGTGCTTAGAGTCAGTAGAGACAGGGACTTCTAATTCATTTCAATCCAATAGTCACTGAGCAAGCCCTACTATGTGTCAACACACATAAGAGATAGAAAGACTAATTACCCCCTGCTGAAAAGGAACCTCCATTCTTAACACATGCTGATTGATTGATTCTAGAAAAGGACATCAGCATGTCAATAAATGAAAAAAAATACTCATGCAAAAGAAATGAAAGCTACAGTTGGTGGCGGGGGTGGGCTGCTTACGGACTACTGAAAAAATTCGGAAAGTCCTCTTGGAGGAGAGGCTTGAGTTGAGCTCTGAAAGGATTTGGGGGTTCTCAGAGCAGAGAGAAAGGTGAGTACTCCATGGAAGGGCCTGCATAATAGAACAGAGACGCTTGTTGTGAATCCTAATTCTGGACCTTAGTTCTGTAACCAAGGTTAAATCCTTGACTTTCTTGAGCTCAGTTTCCTTACCTTTAAAATATAGATCATAAGGACAGTTAGGGCAGCCAGGAGTGCAGTAGACAGAGGCCTGGACCTGGGGTTAGGAAGACTCATCTTCATGAGTTCAAATCTGTCCTCAAACACTTACTAGCTCTTTGACCCTGGCCAATTCTCTTCACCCTGTTTACCTCAGTTTCTTTATCTGTAAAATGAGCTGGAAAAGGAAACGGCAAACCATTCCAGCATCTCTGCCAAGAAAACCTTAAATAGGTTTATGGAGAGTCAGATCCCTGGAAAAGGACTCGACGACAAGAATGAGTACTCATAGCACTTAGATCAGAGAAATGATATACAATGATAGAAGTAGGGGGCAGCTGGACACATTGCCACAGGAGTCCGATGACATGGGTTCAAATCCGTTCTCTGACACTTGGAGACTGTGTGACATTGGCAAGTCATGTAATGTCCCGGAGCTCAGTTTCCTCATCTGTCAAACGCGAGGTTGAACTAATTGTCCCCTGAGTTCCTGTTTAGCTCTGGATCTTATATCAAGTGTCAAATTGCGTTATAACATTAGATTTCGAGCTCATGTCACACATGAGGAAGCTGTGGCTTAGATGGTGAAATGATATCTAAGGTGGCATCAGCAGTGAAGCAGCAGAACCGGGTCACCGAACTCAAATCTAAGGTTCTTTCCTACTTTACCTATATATATATATATATATATATATATATATATATATATATATATATATATATATATATATATATATATATATATATATATATATATGTTGCTACTTGACTTGGCTACGTAAAGAAAATCTCTTCCTTATCCTCAGTTTGTTTGGTGGTGAAATGGGAATTTAAAAAAATAGACAAAGACCAACCTTGTAGTTTGCTATCAAGAAAAAATAAAAGAATCTTACTCAATGGTGTGCAGATTAGGGAAGCATATTTCTTGTTTATACATAACGTCACCAGAAGCCAGAAAATAAAAACAAGTCTCTGTTGTCAAGGTGTTTTATGTACAGGTATTCATGCCCCCCCACCCCTACCCCTTTGTCCCTTTCTGTGTTGGCCCCCATGCCTGGAACACACCCTCTTATCACAACAACCTCATACAATCCTTGGTGGCTTTGAGGCATAACTCAGATGATATGGCCTTCAGGAAGTCCTTCCTGAATCCATTAGCTATTGGTGCTTTCTCTCTGCTCAAATATTGTGGCATTTATCTGTTATAGGCTGGATAACCCAATGGAACAGAAACTCCTTGAAGGCAGGACTTAGATTTTGTTTAGTCTACACAGTGCCTGACCCTATGCCTAGAACATGTTTGTTGAATTGAATGTCCAGGTGATGTGACATGAGAGACAAGATTTCAAAGAGCTGGTGACAGTAATTTTTATGCTCCAGAACTCCTAACAGGACCTTTGCCCTTTTCTTGTACATATGCAGTTAGGGGTCTGGAAAAGTTAGAGATGGGCTTAAATACAGGGATGTGGAGCTAGGGCCTAGTGGGTTTGGTATAACTCCATGTCTCCAACAGGTATGAGATCCATATGTCTCTAACATGCAAGTGATTCATATTCTCTTAACAGGTATGTGACTCATGTATCCATTGTAAAAGGTCTGATCATAAAGGGAATAAAGGTAAACATGGCTCATGTTAAATGCTCAAGGGTGCAGGAACATCTCTGTTGATCTTTGCCTTCTGAAAATGAAAAGGTGCCCAGACAAATTCTTCTGTGCCAGAAAACCTAGAAAGTGTTTTGCTGCTCAAGTAAAGATCCTGGTTTCCTGGGGTCCCAAATATTTTTAAAAAATATGTATTTTTTTTAAATGGTAGAAATGATGTAACACTTATCAATTAGGGACCAGGCCTTTTAATGGATCCCCGAGAAAAGCAGGGACATATCCTATCCACAGCTACTCATTCCTGATCCCTGGCCTTGAAGCTAACTTTCATTCAGACTCCTAGATCTAGAAGGATTCCCCAATCCCTGGACCTTGTGTTTTCAGCACAGTCCAATTTATATCATGAATCACATCATTCGGACATCATTTGTATTCAGTGTCTGACAGACTACCGCACAAGAAGCTGCTGTCTGTGGGGGAAAATGCTGTTTCACGTAACATTAGGCATCTTATAGAGCAGACAGTAGCTTTCGTTCAATATTTCAAGAGTGGCTTCACACAGGAAAGAGTTATTAATAGATACAAGAATAATTGAGATCCCTCTACCTTTTGCCTACAGACTCAGAGTGAGCCTCCCAGCTAACTCACCTGTATGTTAGGGCCAGGCATTCTTTTTTCCGTATTCTAGAGAAGAAAACAGGTTCAGAGAGGCCAAGTCACTTTCCCAGGATCACTCAGCTAGTGTCATAGGCTGGATTTGAACTCAGGTTTCTCCTGACTCCAGGCTCACAACCCTATTTGTAATACAATTCTACCTCCATCAAATTAACTGCAATTTTTTTTTCTGATTGGTTCCTTTTAGTTCTTGTGACATGCAAATTATGACTGATCTGAGAGTTTTTAAACAGAGAAATGAGCTGGCCAATGGTTTATTGCAAAGGGCAAACCCTTGCCTGCTCACCATACATTTTTATTATTATTATTGCCGATTCTTAGAAGGAATTTAGTGAAGATGAACTACAAATTCAGCATTTACCTCAGATTTAACCCCTTTGATGCCCTCACACTTCCTATTCATAGGAATGAATAAATAATAAAGCTTATATCAGGGAGTTGCTAAAAATCCAGAAGGCTAAGAGGATTCCTTGAGGTTTGAAGGATTCTGTTTTTCAGAGGTTTAGCGCTAGAAAGACCTCTTATTTTATATGTAAAAAGAATTGTGGTCCAGAGAATCTAGTGCATTGCCTGAGGTAGTACTTGGCACAGGTAGGAAGCAGTAGGGCTAGTATTTGAAACTGGGTGGTCTGTCTCCAGGGCCTGTATCCTTCCCACTGCATCTCTACCTTTCTTGCTGTTGTCTCAAGATCACAGCACTGGGCACAACTTTTGAGGATGATGGACTCAAGGTCATGAGAGATGATTCTCAATTGTCAAAGGAAGATTCAATGATTGTCACACTACCATAGTCACCCAAAATAAAAGAGTTGACCATGTGGACAATTTTAGAATGATGTTCAATAGGAATTGAAGGGAGAAGGATTTTTTAAAAATGATTTAGTTAATCATGAATACAATTAGCCAGAATCCATCCTGTGCTCATATACTCGTTAGCTAAAGTTTCACTGTGCCAGCTTCTACAGCTACTATAATCCTGTGTGTGTGCGTGTGCGTGTGCGTGTGCGTGTGCGTGTGCATATGTTGCTGTGTGCACACGGATAGGTCCCCAGTGTTATGCTCATAGTTAACATTATAATGAAACAAATAAACTGTGGCAAAGATGGTTGTCATCGCCTCTCTTTCCCTCATTCCATACTAGTGGTTGGTCCTTAGGACGCTCTAGCAGTAGGGGTTAATGAGATTGCCCCAACAGTTAGTGGCTTCCTAAATTCCTACTCAGAGTAGCTTGCTCCCAGACACATGGTTAAAACATGGCCTGATGACAAGAATAGCCATGCTCCTCTTTCCACAGAGCTTCTCATGTTTCAGAACCTAGAGCTGAAGAAGAGACCTTTTCCCTCAGCCTAGAGATGCCTTCACTTACCTCTGTTTGCCTTTGATGTTGAAGGAGCCAGCTGAGAGTCGGTCCAGGGGAGCCCCAAACACAGGGAAGCTCCTTTTCTTCTTGGTCTCAATCACATCATTTTCCAGGGATACCAGCTCATCAAGGAATAGGAGTTTCTGGGTCAGCTCAGTGGCAGATTTCTCTTCAGTGTTTTCAATGTGGGATTGTGCAGTCTCAGCTATGGAGTTAAGGGCCTGCTGGAGAAGGGATTGTCATTATCATTGTTATTGATGCTTAAACAACTAAAGAGGCCCGGAGAGTCAGTAATCTCCTTATGTCTTGATTGTACTTGCACCATTTAGGGCCATTTACAGATATCCTCATAAAATCAGAATAGGAGCCAAGCAGAAGACAGATACTTCTGGGATTAAAAGTAGGGACCTGGGGACTGTTCACAAGAATGCAGGTAACTAAATATGGACAGGGCTGTAGCCATGTTTCTGAAGAACTGCTCTTCCAACTGGATGGCCTTGGTAGGAAATCAGCTTGGGGTCCACTGACTTTTCTACAAAATTCTTCCCCTAAAAGTGAATCTTTAGTTCTTCTAATAACTCAGTTATTTAGCAAACAGCAGCCACACTTCTTTCACATGCAAATTTCTGTCCCTAGAGGTAGATTGAATCTCATGAAATACATGAAGTAAGGAGGGTCTGGGTGTGAATCCTGGCTCTCCCACTTGCTACCTGCATGATCTTGGTCAAATAATTTCCATTTTTGGAGCCTTGGTTCCTACATCTCTTGATCAAAAGTGTTTTATTACATACATTAAAATTAAAAAAAATAAAAAAAAAGAATGTGTTGGACTAGATACTTCAAGGTTCCTCCAAGCTGAGATCTCTAATGATGGTGTCAAGTAACCACATAGACATGAGTAGACTTTTACTCATTTTAATGTATTTAAATACATTTACTCACTTTACTTAAAGAAATATTTTTAGAAACAAATAGTATAGTGATTGTAGTTGATTGTGGGATTCTCTTTGAAATGAATATTAACAAGGAAATCCTTAGGTTGAGTTCCTTGAATTTACTGATTCTGCTAATGCTAATGTCATTCTCGGAGCCATCCAGACATGGAGCTGTTTCATTTCTCAGGTACTGAGGCCATCCTTCATCCTTTAACCTGCCCAGGTGTTTACAGTCCCTTCCACTCTCCTTTCTCGGGAGGGATCAGATAACCATATAAATATGTTATCTTTTAGAGGTAGGACATTCAAAAACAATCATTCATTCACACCATAGCACTAATTAGTTTTCGCCAGACCAGCAGAGTAAAGTCTAAAAGGAGTGGAAGTCTAGAAGTGGGTTTTTATTTCATTTTATTGTTTTTCACGTGAGGCAGGACAAAGGATCCTGCTGGGATAGACTGGCAGCAGAGAGCCCCAGTTACCTGCTACCTTTGTCTGATACCCCCAAGGCAGAACACAGTAGAAATATCCAGCATGCTTTGTGAAAGTCAGCAAATTTTTTCTTGCTTGAAACCAAGTTGAAGAAAATGTGAAAGAATGTGAATTACTAATAAGAAGTCAAATACTCTGGAAGTGGCAAAAAATCTTTCTCTTTTAATAACTCCCCGGCAGTATATCTAAGAGCCCAGGACTGAATGCAATGGAGCATTTTATCCTTAAAAAGACACAAAGCACTGCTATGATAAGAAACAGGTCCTTTTGGTGACCCCATCTACTGTAACATGACTCCTGAATGTGAACAAAGAGGCCAACAGACCCTGAAAGCAAAGAAGGAATAGAATCAAAATCGATCCGTATGGATGAGGTGGTCCATGGCTTTAACTTTTTACTTTGGCCAAGGCAGACACAGACCCATCCAGCCTCGGTTCTCCTCTCCACCCTCACTCAGCTGTCAAGGTCACAGAAAAGGACATACTGGAGTTGGTTGATCTGTAGCCAAATTTGGTGTTTATCAAAAGGGATTTTCTCTAGTGGTTTATGTATCAGATTCAATTCAGTTAAACAAATATTTATTAAGTGCCTACTATGTGTAAGACGTGCCCAGTGCTGGAGAAATGATGATGGAAAACTCAGACTTGATCCTTAGGGATTTCCATCCTTCTGGCATAACTCAGATATGAGCACTGGTAGCTACAAGCAAGTTAGCACGTGTAAGTTTCTTTGTCTTTCTATCCTTCTGTGACCTTCAACTGACCAAATTGTAATGAGATTATAAACCGAATTGGTACCCATTTGAGTCTGTCACTTTCCATTTCATAATAGGGGGGAAAAAAAGAGGGAAAGTGGCCAAAAAAGTGCAAGAATTTGCTTGAATTTTTGTTACCAGACATGTATTCTGCTGGTGAGCTAGGGACTGAGTTCAGATCTGGCCTCAAATTCCCTTCAAGAAAGGCACATATAGGGCACTCCAAGATCATTTCTGTTACCTCTGGTGCTGCCTTGACCCCAGGCCCTTTGCCATTGCTCCATTGCATCAGGAAAATGGCCAGGATCAAATGAGTGGCCACAAATCTCCGGGCCAGCATCTGGAAAAGAGAACACAGAGAACCAATAACCTGTGGAAGTGGGGCATAAAAATCATGTAAAACATGGCAAAACCAAGGGTGGTGGAAAGGCACTCAAGACATCCCATTCCATTCCCTTCCATTCCATTTCATATGTGTCTCTGGGTGCAGGGACAATACAGAGGGAACATTTCTATGATTTCACAGGTCTTCACCTGCTGTGCAAAGGCAGATGTGAAAGAATGAACCATCACACTTGGGGAAGGAACATTCCCATTGGCTCTTCTATTCCCCGTAGGATAAAATGCAAGGGTGAATGTCTTGGGAAGGTGTGCCAGCACCCCCAACCCCAGCACTAATCAGCCTTAGTGCTACAATTTTAGTCATGTAACTCTGAAGCCTTGTGATATTGGTAAGAATAGCCAGGGAGGACACTCCCATGGCATAAAGTTCAGCAATTCCAAGTCATATTTGTTCCATGATGATGCATCTAAGCAGGCCCTTCGTGAGGTAAAAACAGTTATAACAAATTCCAAACCAATATTTCTTGTTATAATCTAAAGAGAGAGGACTTCCTTTGGGGTTAGAAGACCTGGATTCAGATCTCACATTTAACACTTCCTGCTTGGTTGACCTTGTGCAAATCCTCCCCAGGACTCAATTTCCTTATGTATAAAATGATTTGGCTAGTCTCCTTGGCCTCTGAGTTTCCTCCCTGCTCCAGGTTTATGATCCTAAGACCAATCATCCTATGATTTTATTAAGCTTGTCATTTTCCATTTCTATCAGGGAATACAATAAAAAAAGAATATTTTCTCTCCTTTGGCCTTTCGTTAACATCATCTTTCCTAGGTGGCGAATATTTCTTAAGTATCTTAGTAGTCATCTGCTGGAGGTAGATCAACACAGAGTTCCAGAGGTTACTCTGATTTTCCATAGGCTTAGGAAAAAATGTCCTGTTGAAAACAACACAAGACAACAACAACAACAACAATGACAACAATAACAACACATCAGTCCTCTCCACAAATAGAGAAAGGAGGCAGAAAAAAGGGATTGTTGTAGTTATCTGGTCAAAATGCCAGACAAAATCTGGGCAAGGCATTCATGTAGAGAACCAGTCTAGGAAGCCTAATTCACCCATACATATCTTGCCATTCTTCTTCACTGATTTTCTTCACCATAAAGAAATATAACACTGACATAGCTAGCTTTTCTGATGTTTGCCTCCTTGTTTTTTCTCCATTTATCAACTCTTTCTGCAGCATGGCAGAGCAGGAGGGAGTGTGTCAAAGTGAGTAGGGTATTGGATGTGAAGTCAAGGTCCAAATGCCACCCTTGACACATCCAAGCTAACCCCTGACTTGTACAAGCCATGTGACCAAAGGGAAATCTCTTTTCTTACATTAAAAAGTGCCAAACTTTGAAAATTTTCCAGTCTTTCCGTGAGTGGCTTATAATATGCCTGCTATGTCTTCCTTGTTCCTCAGCTCCCTCCCTGCCCATGGAAGCCAGTGCTTGCACAGGACTGTACACGTTTGTTGTCCTGATGTCCACCTCCATCACATCAATGTTGATGTCTGCACCCGTGTGATGATGAAAAGTTACAGTGTCACACCTTGGCAATAACCACATCCTGATTGCTTGGGGATGTGGGTATAAAAAGAAATGGTCCATTTGAAAACATGTACAGCTGTGGTCTAATAACATGCTGGTGGCTTTTAATCTAAAAGTTCCAGCCACCTAAATTTAGTACTGGGGAGTCTAATACAAATAAACACCCTGGCACCTGCCACACAAGACACATTTTGATGAACCTATGAAACCTGAAGCCGGCAACATGAGAAACACAGGAAATGACAGGGAGAGAGCAAGGAGGCTCTCCCAGTTTAGCCCTTCTTCAGGGTTGGGTCCATGCTGGGGCCAAAATAACTAATGACTTCAAAATCTACTTATGATCAAGCATAGTGCTTGGCACAGAGTTTCCACATGGCAAATATTTACTGATTGATGGCTTCATTGATTATAACATAAGCACTGAATAGCCTTGTGAGTTAGTCGATACAATTATTTTTAAAATATCTGGAGAAGTGAAATCTCTCCCCTTCACTATGGTAAGCGACCAAAAGAAGAATCAGAGAATCTCTGAGTTGGAAGGGAAGTACATCCCATGTGTTCATTATGAAAGTATAATGAACAAGTTATTAACAAATATGTCATCCAGAATCTGACTTGAGATCTTGAGGGAAGGGATATCACCTCATAAGAGATTTGCTTTGTGACTTTCATTTGCTGTTGCTCTCTTCACATCTCTTTATATAGAAGATGAATCCTATACTATGTGTTGCCAATTCGTAGTTACTTGGGCACCCTGTATATAGAAAGCCCTGTAACAACTGAACAATATGGTGCCTAAATTGAACTGAAACAATGAAAAAAATAATGATTTCATATGATAGGTGACTAATTTTATGGGGGAAAATGAATGCTACTTATTTCAACTAAAGCAGACTCTTTAAACGGTACATGTCAGTATGCCCCAGCTGAACCCTTTTCTTCCACCTATCTCTGTTAAAAACATATATTGACCAATAGATTCAACACTGGACTGAAGGACAACTACACTCTAGTCTTTTTCTTTGACTTCTAATATAATCATAGTCAAGTCACAAAACCCAGAAAACTTAAAAATGGAACTTCTCACAGGATGGTGAAAAGATGAACGAAATTGTTTCTGTGGGAGTAAGAACATTTAATTCACATGGCTATTTTAAGCAATGTTTGTAACATGCTTTAAGACTCTCTGGCAGTAAAATGCCATAAAATTTAAAAATACATGGGATTTGCCCAAATATAGGCTACCTTTAAATACTGACCACACCCCTAAATGAGATACCTATGCAAGGAGATATATATATATATATATATATATATATATATATATATATATATATATATATATATATATAATAATATATATATATATATAATATAATATATATATAATATATATAATATATATATATATATGGATATATACACTACAAAAAATAACACTAATTATAAGCCACATCCAGAGTTTACACAAACCAGATCTGGGGGAGAAAATAGCGTCTTTATTCAAGCTAATATAATATTTTCTTTTCTCTTACAGACTTTGGACTCCATCTGCAGAATGGAATATTTCTGATTTCACTGTTAGGACTATTATTGATCCCTTCATCTTCTCCTGATTCTTGGGCTACAGTAACAGCCTTCCTATTCAGCCTCCCTGCTTGAAATTTCTATTTTCTCCAAGGCATGTGCCACATAGTTACCAAAGTTATCTTCCGAAGGCAGAGGGCTGAACATATCAGTCCTTCCTCAAAAACCTTCAGCAGCTCCCCCTGTGTCTAAGAGACAATGTATCCTTCAAACAAGACATTTAAAACTCTAACCGATCTAATTCTCACCCACATTTCTGAGTATTTTTTCTATTATTCCCTTTATGGAAGCTTTTCGATGTCAAATTGAACTCCAAGCTGTTACCTGACATTTCAGTCCCACCTCTATGTCTTTGCCCAGTTGATTGATCCTTCATGGCCTAATGTGTCTTCTTAGCTTCTTTTACACCATAGCTGAGGTGCCATTACTTATTGAAGTCATTTCTGATTCCCTGTACCAGTAAATAACCCCTTCTCTCTTCCATTTGTATTTAATTTGTATTTACCGAAATGTACACGTGTTTTCTCCACCAGTAGAATGTTGGATCCTTGAGAAGACACCTTCTTCCACTTTAGTGTCTCTTCCCTCAGGGCTAAGTATAGTATCTTGTCAACGGTGGTCAAGAAATAAAGCGTTCTTAATCAAATTTGAAAAATATACCTTCCTATATTTTATCATGTTTAAATTTTTCACAAAAATTTAACCGTCAGAGGAATTTAAAATAGAGATTATTCTGAGTAGAAAAGTAGACCTGACTGACCACAACCACCACTGCTCCCACTACTACTAGTATTGCTACTGCTACTATGACACTTACTAGTACAACCCCTGGCCATAGACTGGTTTATATTGTAGGTGGAATTTGAAAGGGAACTCACCATAGGGGCAGAATCTCCCCAATCTCTGGTTTTATTTATAAGACCATATTGCTCATAACAGTCTATACTAAAGCAATCTCAAGACAGGGGAATATGATAAGGTATTAGTTAAACAGGTTGTCTGAAACTTACCTCCAACTAAGACAGTGTTTTCAAATAAGTATTTGATTGAATAGGAATGATCTAATGCTAATAGGAATAAGGTCCTGATCACATCTGTAGCAATGGATTTGGAGGTAGCATTGCTAACATGAGGTTAGTCAGTGCCAGCATCTTAAGGGAAACTTGTAGGACAAGTCCAGCTGTGGCATCTGTCTCCTCTTTTGGGGGCCCTTACTCTATCCAGATAGCCAATTATGCTCAATCTCTCACAATCATATATGGGGAACAATGTATTATTCCTCTTTTTTGACAAAGTAGATAACCAGCAGATCTGGGAAATACTCGGAAAGAATTTACTTATATTTTAATGAGGCCTTTCATAAAATATCATACACTATTCTACAGGGAAGGAGAAGTAATAATATAATTCCAAAGATTTAGAATTAGTTAAATGGCAGAAACAAAAAAAACAGTGGTAAAAGTTTAATGGAAACTTGGTTGGAAGTCTCTCAGGAAATGCCCCAGGGATCTTTATTTGGTTCTTTGCTGTTTAATAATTTTATTAATAACTTGGATAAAGGGACATGTAACATGCACATCAAATATGCAGATGACCAAAAAACCGAGAGAGATGGAAGACTGAAAACTGAAGACAAGGTCAGGATCCAAAAGGTCTTGACTAGCTTGAATATCGGGCTGGATCTAATGAGATGAATTGTCAAAACATTAAATGTAAATGTTCAATGTGGGCTCAAAAAATCAGTATCATAAGAATAGGAAGGAGGAGACCGAGCTAGGCAGGAGTTTGAAAAATAAAGGGATAGGGATGGGAAGTAGATCTAGGGGAATGTAAGCTTAGTGTGAATAGTGAACATGATCTAGAAGTGAAAAAAAGCTAATGTGATCTTGGGCTCAATGAAGAGCAGAAGAACTTCCAATAATAAGCAGAATCCAACATTGTATTGGTAGACAAAACATGTATACATTTCAATAAATACAGAGTCATTCTGGGCTCTGCCTTGGACCTGCCATATCTGGAATATATATATACATATATATATATATATATACATACATACATATATATATATATACATATTTTTTTTTTTCAGTTGTGGATGCTATTCTCCCTCTAGGAAGAAACAGCAACACAGTACAAGAATTGTCATGATGTGTCAAATGGGATGAACATTCACAGTGGGCCATACTCACTTCCCATTATAGTTTAATTAAAGGTATATCCCCCCTCACCTTGAGTTTTTCAAACTAATGTTCCATTCTGAGTAGTTCAGAGAAAACTCCTCACTTTAGATTCAGACACATTTCTGCTCCAGCTCAAAATGTGTCAGTGGTGAAATGAATATCTCATCTACCGCCTAAGATTCTAAGCCTCTCAAAAGAAATATTTTTAGAGGGTATTTTACTTCTTAACCCATGGAAAAATCAATACCCATATCTTTTACCTGGAATTTCCACAGACCACAGAGCTGATTTCTACCATAATCTGCAACAGAACCAGGTTTTGGACACAAACACTATTCATAGATACCCAGGGATGGAAAACCATGGGACACAGGATTTTGCATACCTACTTGGTTCTCAACCACCCTAATTTAATGAATGAATGTATATCTAAAACCAATATCATTTCATTCAAGAAGTAGCTAGATGATATTTCCAAATGCCTGAAGAATTTCCTGTTTTTCTGTTGATGAAGCTCCCAGATAACAATTGTTGTTTTCTCAACCTCAAGCCATCACAGTTTTATGTTTTGGGGAAGAAAATCATCCCATATAAATAAATCAAATAGAATGCTATGGTCATTGTTTGTGTGAGAGCGAGCCAACTGAGGACAGCTACCACATTGTGAGCTGCTTTTAAACTCTTTGGCTCCACCACCTCCTTCCTTCAAGCTTGTTTATGAATGCACAGAATAATCCTATAGCCCTAATGGACTAATGATGATGGGGTGAATGCATCAAAAAGCAAGGGCTGAGGCCTAAAAGGCCGATGAGTTTGCCATCCAATTCTCCAGAATAGCAATATATCTGTGATTTCGGCCAGGTGGGTAGACATTCTCCCTCTCATTTCAGATTGCAGTCCATCCTTGTCTATCTGTCCTGTGCAAATCTTGCCCATGTCCTCCTGTAGTTTTAATACAGGAGCATCACCTAAAGTGCTTGTGGTTCTTTGTTATACAGTCTTGATATCCTAATGATAACAATGGTGCACGTAGGCTATCTCTTACTATTTGTCAGTTATACTACATGACCGATTCATCTTTTAAATTGGGAGAGGTCATGTCAATAGACACTGCTGCAAAATGAACAAGGAGTCTGAGGACCTGAGTTCAAATCTCATCTCAGACACTTTTTACATGTGTAATCTTGGGCAAATCACTCTATCTTCTCAGTCTCAGTTTCCTTACCTGTAAAATAAGGCAGTTGGAATAGATAACTTCTGAGGTCGTTTTCCATATGTAGGTCTGTGATCATTTGTAAAATAAGAAGGTTAAATTAGTGGTCTTCTGAGAGCACTTCCAGCTCTAGCTCTCTGATCCCATGAACTCCAGTGCCATTGGGGATTTATCTAGAATAAAGCGCTGAAGGGGGACAGAGAACATGGAAGGAGGGGGGAAGGAGAAAATGCCTGGCATTGAGGCAGTGGGGGCCAGTAGACAATATTACTATCCCCGCTGCTTACAATGGTGAATGAGGAAAGTGGAAAGTGTTGTGCTTAGATTCTAATCTCAGTATCTGTAGGAACTGCAAAATAAATATTCTATGAAAATGGGTATTCTAACTCAAGCCATTTCTTTATAGGAGACTAAAATATGGTACAGTTTGGGAAACTGAATGTTCTCATTGATTAAATTAAAAGTCCTGGGCCACATCTCTGGCTAATGTCTCATGCTTTGGAGCTAAAAGGCTCTAAGACATTTCATCATTGAAAAAGGACTCTATTTGAAGCCATATGTCCTCTCTCTGTGTGAATAGTCATTAGGAAGGTGGTGTTTCATAGGTTTGGGCTTTCTTAACTTGCTCTTTTTAAGATAGGATTTACTCATGCATTAAAAAAGGTTCCTTTCCTGTACCAAATTGAAATAATCAAAAATACATAATTTCACCTTTGTTACGCCATTTATTCTATTTGTAGCATTTCTCCTCTCTTTTTCAGAAACCGTATTAAGTAGACAACTTGGGAAACCATTACCATGACTACTTATCTGTTAACTGTGTAACTATTTTGGTCTCTTGGCATTTTCTTCTTCATCACTGTCAATCAACATCCAGGAAAAGGGAGTTGGTAGTAACCAACCTTTGGTATTTAAAGTGAATCACACTAGAATGAAGGTAAAACCCAAAAGGACAGAACCAGAAACACAGAAGTCACCAATGTAGCCCAGAATTTTCCTTACTATGGCTTGGTCTTGATATCTAAAGGTACTTGGTGGTTTCCAGAAGTACCAAGGGGTCCTCCTTTGAGGTCCATCATAATTTTAATAGCATCTCATGGCACAGAGCCTGATGCTGGTGGCATGGCATGATTTTAGCTTGCTTTGATGAGAACACTTTCGTATTTGATGGTCATGCCCATTAGGGCAGCAAAAAGAAACTGCAATGCAGTTTCTACATGAGCTTCTTCTTTGGTGAGCTGGGTATACACTGACACAATGACAAATCTGGTGGAGCTTATCTATAGAAAATATTCCTAAAGAGAAGGTGAGATTCCCATTGGTGCAATAATTAGAAACATCCAGATAATGTGCTATGGTGTTAAAAAAAAAAAGACCACATGTTTTCCCTACCTTATCCTGTTGACAAAAGAGGAATGTCCTTGATTATGTGTGGATTGGATTAAACCAGGAAATATGGTTTGTACCATAGAGCTCTGAAAAATATACATAGAAGACTAGGAAAACTAGTGACGAAAAAATATACCAGCAAACATGTCTCAGATATCCAAAGGTAAATTCAAAACAATTGATTCAGAATAAGTACAAACTGTGCAGCTTGGGGGCTTGTATTGGAATTAGGAAGAGTTGGCTTTAAGTTCAGCCTCTGACATGGACCAGCTGTTCAGTTACAGGCAAGGCAGGCTACTCCCAGTACTTCATGTGAGTTACAAATTAGTAGTTGATCTGAATCAGTGGCAAAAGTTCACACACAAGGAATTGCCTTCACCATCAAAATAACAGGTTCCATTGCATGTGTGCACAGACACATGCAACCACACACATGTACATGCTCACACATGCCATACAGACATACACACCTTTTAACCTGTAATAGCTTAACACTGTATGTACAAAGACATTTGGAAAAGCCTGAATAAAATCAAATGCTTTGTCTGAGGAATTTGGTGGAGGAACCAAGCCTAGATCTCAGTTCTCTAACTTGGGTTTGCTGAACTCTGATGTATTCTCAGTTCATAATCATGGTGAGAAGTAATGAAAAGAGGGGAGATTTAAGGCAGTGTGAAGGTTGAACTCTATTTGCGATACCTGCTTTTTAATCACTTTTCAGTCCAGGTGCGTCTGAAGGGCTGAAGATAAAGAAAATGCCAAAGCAAATAACTGTGATTCTATGAAATGCTATTGGACAGCTTCTGGGGTGTGTTCTCCTGATCAACCATTCCCTGCTCCCTATGCTGTGATGGGGGGGAGGGCAGCATCACTTCCCAGGGCCTTCAGTGAGCAAAGTCTCCCTGAGCAGGGTTGCTTCATCTCTTTAAACATTCTTGTTTGGGTTATACTTTTCTTGGGTGGGAGGGAGGAAGGAAAATACATAGTTTTGCTTAAAAAGCATTTTCTTGTGGCTGAAAAGGGGGACAAATTGCTTGAGTTACTGAATGAGGTTGCCACAGAATGCAGACTGCCCTTCTAGGTTCTGCTATGCTGCCTGGCATATTCAGAGCAAGTTAACTGAGAAAGTGTGCAAGAAAACCCACACTGAATGGAGAGCAAGATTAATCCAGCTACCATCAGATCATCTCCACCCAGAAAAACTGGCTTGGCTGATCATGAAGAGTTAATTGTATATGTAGCAGAAGAGGGCAGAATAAATGATGGGGCTAAAATCACACTGGTATGCATTGTGGAGAGCAAACATTTGATTACATTACCATCTATTGCCAGCAAACTCTCAGCTTCTCAATCACTTCTACATTGGCCATCTCATTGTGCCAGCTGTTCAAAATATCTCTAATTACTTCAATGTGTTTTTTTCAAAATTTTAAACAAAAGTTTAATTCTCTTCCCTTACCTCTGAAGTTATGAATCCCCCATGCTCAGTGGTTCCTGGTCCCAGATTTGGAGCTATGGCAGATGGACAGAAGACAACACCAAGCACAAAAAAGACAGGCTAGGAAAGGTTTTGTCCTAGAAGGATTTCGGATGGTGATGGTCTGAGTTTGGAGGACTGCTCTCATTAATTATAGATCAGAATGCTGAGGCAGTGAAAAGTTTAACCCTCCTGGAGGCTTAAGTCAGAATAGTCCTGGGAAATTGCCAACCCCTCAGATATTTAGAAAACAACCCAAAACACAAAGGAAGAAGAAATGAAAAAAAAACGGTCCTTGAATCCATCATCTAACAATCTCCCTAGGATACTAATTAACATCTAAAAGCAAGATGAGCTTTATTCTAGCCTATGATGCTGTCAATCTCCTGTGCATTCTCATCAGACATGTTTACTTATGTATGTGGTCTCAACTTGTAATTTCACTGGTGCAGGGAACTCAAGAAGTGGAAACTCCTTCTACTAATGCAGTTTGAACAACTTTCTGCAATTAAAGTCTTAAAAAGTTACCAGGGGAATTGAAAGGTTATGTGACTCACCCATAGTCTATAGCAATTTCAGAAGCAGGATTTGAGCCCAGGTCCTCCTGACTCCAAGCCTAGCCTGGTATCTGCTCTGTTGCTGCCTTTTTCATAATGTTACTTCAATTCTTTCCCATCACAGAAATTCCAAGTTGAATGAGGGCCTTCAGTGAGCACCCCCTGCCCACTTTATAGATCCAAAATGAAGCATCATGGATCATTTGCCTAATGTCATGAAAAAAATCCATTTGCAAAGTTAGGATCAGGAGTGGCTCTCCTGACCAAGCCCCATGTCTCAAAGTCTGTTAACAATGTTTCCTCAAACAAGCCTTCAAAACACAGTGGATCAGCTGATGAACCTGGGTCCCAGGCACCATCATTTATTAATGTATTTTACTTCTCTACCAGAGCTTGGATATAGAAAATTAGAAGTATCTGCAATAATGCAAATATAAATGTGAATAGATTTAGATGGATGTGCCCACACATGTGCATACACATAGATTTACATCCTTGCATGTCAACAGCATACATGAACATACATCCGCACATATGTATTTTATGTACATATGTAAGCATACATACACACTTATGCATGCTTAGAAAACGAGAGAACAAATGAATGTGCTAAGGTGCAGTACTGTCTTTACAGAAAGGATAAAAGTATCTATGACATTTGAAAAATGTACATCAGAAGACCTAGAACAAAGTAAAAGGGTGTGAGAAGGCTGCTGGAAGAGAGGAGCTCAGGTGGCCATCCGTATAAATAAAAGTCACTTGGATGACCATCTGGCCACAGCAGTCTTCTTTAGCAAGCCTAGCAGGGTCCTGAAGAATAGTTTTGAAAAGAAGATAATAGCCTTTTAGGGACTGTCAGGTGTTGTACCATCAGCTCTAAAGGAATGAAGAAAACCTTATCACCTGTGAAAGATTTTTTTTTTTGGGGGGAGTGGTTGGGTTTTTAATTCTGGGTAGCATAAATATCACTAAAACCGAAGTCAGTATCATTCTTTGTCCCAGCAATAATCAATAATGTTTCTAGTATTGGCAACATGTTGATATAGATATAGATATAGATATAGATATAGATATAGATATAGATATAGATATAGATATAGATATAGATATAGATATAGATATAGATATAGATATAGATATAGATATAGATAGATAGATAGATAGATATAGATATAGATATATAGATATATAGATATAGATATAGATATAGATATAGATACAGATATAGATATAGATATAGATATAGATATATAGATATATCTGTGTCTGTCTGTGTGTGCGTGTCTGTGTGTGTAAACCCAAAAAACAAAACAGAAAATTTGTTTAAATTTTTATACTTACTTCTAAAGGAAACTAAAATGCGATTTAAAGTGCTAGTAAAACTAATCCCTTAGTAGCAAAGAACAAAGCCTAAAGCTTAGATCTCAAACTTTCATACATATACATATATATGAAAGCTTTATTATTATATATTATGTTATATATCATTATATGTTGTATGTATAATACTATATATAGTATTAGTTTCAAATTTCATAGTGCATTTCTAAAGTTTAACACAGCCAAATTATTTTTTAATTCATTAATGTTTCATTTAATTAAGTCACATTTCTTATCTGTGGATTAGGTGAACAAAACATAAAGGGACAACTACTTTGCAACAAGTTTTTCAAACTAATAAATTCAAGCATTTTTTATTTTCAAGGATTATAAACATCAAACAACACACTAAATATATTTTTACAACAATAGCAATAAGCAATTTGAACCAGGAACTTAAATAGTTTTTAATCTTTCTTTTGGTAATAGAGGAAAAGTACTGAGGTTTTTGTGAAATCTGTGAAAAGTCAAAATTCATCCAATTAGTTTGTGCCCTAAATATACACTACAGAAACAGCCTTTCAAATTCCAGCTCATTGCATATATAGTGGAAATATAGTTTTCATGGTCTGCTAGAAGTAGGGTTATTTTAAATTTAGCAAAAGTGACAAATAAATGAAACATGAAAGAATCTGTGAAAATAGCAGATTAGGGCTTTTCTTAAAGGATTTCTCCATGTCATTATTTTGCTTACCTTGTTCAAAATTCAAGAGATCCAAAGCTGAAAGAGACGTTGCTATGCTTTTTCTCCCTAACTTTGCCCTGATGCTGAGCTTTTTTCAGAGTTTTTATAGTTTCAGCCTTACACTCCTTACTCCAATCCCTGCCTTTGCTTTCTCTTACATCATTTCTACAGATTTTCCACTGATCCTTTAACTAAGCCTCTCTCTCTCTCTCTCTCTCTCTCTCTCTCTCTCTCTCTCTCTCTCTCTCTTTCTCTGTCTCTCTCTCTCTCTGTGTCTCTCTCTGTGTCTCTCTCTGTCTCTCTCTGTCTCTCTCTCTCTCTCTCTCTCTCTCTCTCTCTCTCTCTCTCTCTCTCTCTCTCTCTCTCTCCTTCAACCCCCTTTCTTTCTTTCACTCTCTCTGTCTCTCTCCCTTCCCTGGCCACAGATTGTTGAATCTCTTGCTTTGATCAAGGTGACTGGGCACAATTAAAGCTTTGGCTGTTGATGAAGGAAGGAGTATGACAGGGAAGGGACCAAGCATCATATTTAGCCTCAGACTCATCACCTCTTCTTGAGGTTTTAACCAGGCTCTGATTATTACAAATCACACTAGAGAAACTTAATATCTCATGACATGTTTAAACCAGAAATCACTGGGGTTTTTGGAATTACAATTTGGGGATGAAACATGTGCTTTAAGACTCATAATCAGACTCCCACCACCACCATGGCTTTATTATTATTTTTCTAGCTGCTCTAAATTAAAATGATTATCTCTGGAAATGGTAAGTGTTTTTGCCATCTGTTGTGGCTACTTTGCTGTGTCAGTGAAGTCTGTAGTTCTCCAGACCTCCTATTGCTAAAATGGGAAGACTGACATTATCAAATCTATAAATACGGAACTATAAAATCCATGCTATAAATGCAGAGGGCCTAAGTGCTCCCTTAGGGCTCTTATTTGGGGGGGGGTGATAGGATCATGGATTTGGAGCTGGAAGAAAACACATAGATAAGCCATTCCAACCTTTTCATTTTATATATGAAAAAAAAGAGGTTAAGTGATTTACCCAAAGTCACTGGGGAATGGAATTTCAGAGACAGGATTTCAACTTTTAATCTCGGACTCCATCACTGATACTCTTGCCATTGTCCAGTAGCTCCATCAAGTGATTTTTCAAGTTCATATCAACAAAAAATATGCCACAGAATTTCCTCAGTGGAGGCAATGCCCAGTGGAGAAATTCCCTTTGCTGAGGCAGTCTAGCAATTGGTGTGTCACTTGCAGTGTTAGAAAATTGTCTGGTGGCACTAAGTAGTTAAAGGATTGTCTTATGATAATGCATCTAGTACATGCCAGAAGCAGGACTTAAACCCAGGTCTTCCTTACTTCTACAGCAGCCATCTAGCCACTGTGGCATATTGTAACAAAATATAACAAAAAACCAATAATGTATTTGTGCATGTATATATGTGTGCACATGTCAAAAGTGTACACACACATCTAGCCATACTTACCTATGTATACATACATGCCTTATATGTGTACATGCATGAATACATACATACATGCACATATGTATATACAAATGTATATATTTATGTGTGTATATACCCAAAGCACAACCTGTCCGTGCCCCTACTCCCCAAATTTATTAACATTGTAAATTACAGATCAATTTCCAGACCATGTTGGTGGAGCAAATTTCCACCTGGAGAGATTTTAGTAGTTTTAAGACAGCAAGAGTAGCTAGCTAGCTAGCTAGACAGACAGACAGACAGATGGTAGATATATCAATGGTAGACAGGGGAATACACAATCATGCATACACATATATATATATATATATATATGCACGTGTACACATATATGTGTATATATGCATACACACATAGAAACATATATACATACACACATATACATAGGACAGTTCATACTTAAGGTGTATCTGGAACTTTCTTTTGGGTAAACAGATACAGCATTGATCAGTGGGAAGTGCTAGGTTTGGAAGAAGAGAACCTGAGTTCAAATCCCAGATCTTTTTTTACTTCCTGTGTGACCTTGGGAAGCTACTTAGTGCCCCTGAGCTTTATTTCTTCATCTATAAAATGATGTCACAAGACTAAATAACCTCTAAGGTTTATTTTGACTTTAAATCTAAAATCCTCTGATGTTGCCAGTCATAAAGATAACCTCAAAAATGCCATCAATGAAAATATCATATGAATACATGTCTAGCAAATAGATTTTGCTGGAAGAGAAAACAAAACCAGATGACAAATGTCCACAGTCGTGCTGCTTGATTTTCTGTAAAAGGACATTCAAAATCGAACTGCCCAAAATGGGAGCTGTAGCATTCAACCCAATCCAAACAGGGAGAACAAATCAAGACCAAACTGGATTTGCTCTCTGGCCAAATGCTCCATTCTCAGGAAGCACTTCCAGGGATAATATGTGCCTCAATGAGTCTGAAATTTGAGTCATTGGCAGGAGTCTTGAAGTCAAGATAAAAATATAGCCTAATTGTGGACCCTTATTTAGACTTCAGTGACACAAAACTCTGCTAGCTTGAGTTCACATCATGGAAAACTCTGAATATAGATTTAACTGACTTTTCATAACTCTCTCGGCATCCAGAGCTCTCAGCTTCCCTTCTGCCTATCCTGGAAACTCAGACTGCAAGGTACTGAAAAGGCTATCTGGGGCTGTGCTGTTACAGCTCTGTCACTTGGGGAGTTCACAGATGCTCCCTTATTTGTAGGTTTTGTTGACCCATTCAACAATTTGATGTTATTGCTGTGCAGCCAAGAAAATTAAAAGCCATGCTACTTTCACATATATCAGGTTAAACTTAAAAGTGTGTTCTGCATGATATTTTTTAGAGTGTTGCTTGTTAAGCATTTACCAGAACAGCCTTGGCCAAATGCCTTTGAAGTGCCTTACAATTCTGAAATTCCATGGTACCTTTGGCACCTACCTCACAGAGTTGTTGCAACACAATTTTTTTTCTGTAAAGCATAAGATGATTTATAAATGTGGCTTATTGGTGTTGTTGTTGTTGTTGTTGTTGTTGTTGTTGTTGTTGCTGTGGTGGTTGTGGTTGTGGTTATCGTTTTCTGGAATAGTGGATCCCACAAGTCATCAAAGTTCCTTTCTCTTCATTTCCTTGAGGACTGGAGGACTTCTCTGTGTGGGCCACCAGATTGAACGTCCCTTCATTCCAGCGTTGGTTCCCTCAACATTGACTAAGTAGCTGCTGTGCAGATGTTTGCCAAGGGGCATGACAGAATTCAGTCCAGGATACGTGAGGACTGTTCAGCATTAGCCTGAGAGTGGGTTGTCAATTAGATACTGTATAGATTAAAGAAGAGGCAGTGTTACAGTGGGAGATTCAGGAAGACCTGGGGTTGAATTGTCCTTCTGATACTTACCTGCTGTGGAGAATGTGTCCACTATTGTTGTTTGTGGTTCATTTTTGAAGAGGACTGATGACATCAAGGGTAGTGTCTTGACTTGTGTGTGAACTGGATTTAAGTGAGGCCAAGCTATGCAGTCTTCAGCATCACTCTCCCTTTCAGGGTCATCAAAGTCCAATGGCAAGACAAAAGTCAGGATGACTAGCGATAGTTCTAGATGTAGTGGGTGACCTTGGTGTCTTCCATGTCTGACCAAGCTCTGAGCACTCCACAGTGCCTGCTTCAGCCTCCTTCATGGCTGTTGGGATAAATTTTTCCTATCTTCCCATTCCACCAGGGAAAGTCTTCATATGCTTCAGGTGCTTGGGCAGGGGAGGGGTCATTTATTATAGCTCTCTGGGACTAAGGCAGACTCTCTAAGACTTCCCAACCAAGCTATGAAGTGTTGTAATCTGCTTAAGTGGAGGAATTTCCAAAACATAGTTCATTACATGGAAAAACAATCTCCAGTTCTTCATGCATTAGTACATTATAAAATGTGTAAAGGTAAAATGTGAGCATAAACTTTGCAAATTACATTTTATGTCTTTATATTATATATAATTTCCTTTTACTCAACAAGAAATTTTGTGAAAATTGAGGAAATTATAGTTCTTATATTTCTAAAGTACTCTTTCAGTCTCTAATACACTGACTTGCTTATACTTGGTATTTAATCAACATATATATATATATATATATATACATATATATACATACATATATACATATATACATAATATATATATATATATATATATATATATATATATATATATATATATATATATATATATATATATATATATATATATATATATATATATATTATATAATATAAATTTTCTGGTATCTGAAAATGGTGTTTGGATTTGTGAACCATAGCTAAACACATGGGAAGGAGAGGCTCTTAGCATGGAAGGAGGCTCATAGGAATGTATTTGTTTGGTGCTTTGCAAATAAAATCAAAAGATATTTAAGTTAATAAAAAAAGGACAGGGAAGGGGAAAAATAATCTTCAAATATCCACTGAGAATTTAGAAGAGACAAGCAACAGCATAAGAAGAACAAGAAAAAAAAGATGTAAATATCTATGAAGTTGGTTGGGGGAATTTGGGAAATATCACCATCTTGGCACAGTTTTTCATACGGGAGGACTTTAGTTATTCACACATCTTCTGGAGTTTCTCTCTCTCTCTCTCTCTCTCTCTCTCTCTCTCTCTCTCTCTCTCTCTCTCTCTCTCTCTCTCTCTCTCTCTCTCTCTCTCTCTCAGCAATTGGTGGCACAGTGGATAGATTGCTGGACCAGGAGTCAGTAAGACCTGAGTTCCCATCTGGCCCGAGACTCTTATTAGCTCTATGACCCTGGACAAGTAAGTTAACATTTTTGTTTCAGTTTTTCCAACTGGAGAATGGGGGAAATAGCAATACTTTCCAGAATTTCTCTGGGAATCAAGTGAGTTGATATTTGTAAAGCACTTAGTACACCTGGCACATAGTAGGTGCTATATGAATGTTTATTCTCTTCCCTCCATGAATAGAAGACCTAAGAACTTCTTGACTGATTACAATATTTGTCAGAAGAACCTACAAAGAGATGGTCCTATATATCTCATCAAAAACAAAACAAAACAAAACATTGGCAGGAATGGGGA